TTAGCAGCTTAATCTCTACTATGCTGGGCTGGGTGACATGAACTTTAGTGTCAACTATTTGGTCAAAATTAACCAGTAAACCACTATATAATTTGTGTTACTATCTTATGATTATTCAACTTTTATTTATTTATTTATTTATTTATTTATTTATTTATTTATTTATTTATTTATTTATTTATTTATTTATTTATTTATTTATTTATTTATTTATTTATTTATTTATTTATTTATTTATTTATTTATTTATTTATTTATTTATTTATTTATTTATTTATTTATTTATTTATTTATTTATTTATTTATTTATTTATTTATTTATTTATTTATTTATTTATTTATTTATTTATTTATTTATTTATTTATTTATTTATTTATTTATTTATTTATTTATTTATTTATTTATTTATTTATTTATTTATTTATTTATTTATTTATTTATTTATTTATTTATTTATTTATTTATTTATTTATTTATTTATTTATTTATTTATTTATTTATTTATTTATTTATTTATTTATTTATTTATTTATTTATTTATTTATTTATTTATTTATTTATTTATTTATTTATTTATTTATTTATTTATTTATTTATTTATTTATTTATTTATTTATTTATTTATTTATTTATTTATTTATTTATTTATTTATTTATTTATTTATTTATTTATTTATTTATTTATTTATTTATTTATTTATTTATTTATTTATTTATTTATTTATTTATTTATTTATTTATTTATTTATTTATTTATTTATTTATGATTTTACATATTTTTATATTTTGTTAGATGGATTTAGGGGGAGGGGTGTTGGTTAGATGACTCTTCTCTGTCAATCTCTCCGGTTATACGTTTATACCTTCTTCTCTTCTTCAGCGGTCTATTCTTCTTCTTCTTCTCTGTCAATCTCTCCGGTCATCTCTCTCCCTGGTTTTTTCTTCATTTTCTCTTGTCTTCTTCAATTATCTCCATCTCCTTAATCAAAATATTAAGAGTCTAACCACAATTTCTTTTTGCTTCATCTTCAAAATTCTGGGTTTTCTTCTTCTTTTCTCATCCTTCAATTATTTTTTTCTCCATCAAATTATTAATAATCGAACAATTTCGTTCTTCTCTATCTTCAAAATAAACCTAGGATTTTTCTCCCTCCATCAATTCAAAAATAAAGTTTTATTGATCTAAATAAGTATTTGTATTTGTATTTGAAAACCTGTAACATTCCTTCAAGTTGCATTTCGACTTGGTTCAAGTTACATTTCCATTTTAATGCCATTTACATTTTGACTTGCCTCAACAAATTACATTTCAATGAACTTTTTTTTTACATCTCGACTTGCTTGGAATAACATTTTGCATGTACGCGGTTTATATTTTATATATTAAAGGCGAGAAACTAACTACAGGAGGGAGTAACACGAGTTACACTCAAGTGCATGAGTTGCATTTGCCGCCAATTGAGATTATATGTGTACCAACGCGAGTTATATTTCAGCACAACGGGTTTACATCATGAAAAAAGTTGAGACAAAAATCATAGTTATTGTTCATCCGCATTTTTTAGTTAAAACTTTAATAAAATGATGTCGTTTTAGCTATGGGAATATAATGCTCACTATGAGCCACTCTCACGGTATAACATCAGGCTAACAAGTGATTGCTGCTTAGACAAGGCCACATTTTCTGTTTTCAAAATATATCATGTACTCGTAACTTTTATAAGCGCAAACCCAAAAACTGGATATGTGCACATCCAATTGACGTAAATCCCAAAAACTTTCTTTGCTTTGAGACTTGTAAAGTTGTAATGGGTTTTGCTTTTTTGAGCATTTACACTAGAAGGCTTATCCTGAGGTTAATTCATATGTTTACAGAACCGCTACTACGCTGCTTTTTGGACGATGAGAAAGAAAAGAAACATGGCAGAGCAAGTGTTGCTGCAATCTCCCATTGTTTCAAGTGGCCAGAAGGGAATGTGACATTAGAGATAACTGCTTTCGGGGTTGTTATTATAAGATCTATTCATATGTATACTCAATTTTGAGATATGTAATTGTTTATTTCTTTCTGATTTTTTTGGAATAACATTTTTAATCCTATTATAGTATCTGATAAAGATAATGCTAACATCCTTGATTGGTATGAGACTTGAACCTGCGACTTCCTCTTTGAGAGATTGACCGTGATGCTATCAGACTAAAAGGTATTTGGTCCAAATTAAAAAATTCAGCTAGTTCCTATATTTCTTTTTGATTAGATAACTGCTTTTGATCCTCTATAAATGAATTAAATGGTTTTTGTATGTGCGCTATGTCTGGAAAGAAACATAGTTTTGTATATACTCCCGCAACCTCTGCAATGCTCTCCCTCCATATATCTTTTAGACACTTGCGACATTTCGTGAATCTTTGTATACAGGGGTGTAGGTAGGCTTAGGGATGGCCGATGGCCTCAGGCCGGTTCGGGCCTGGGCCCGGCCGAGCCTCGGGTCTGTTTTGTTGGGCCCGAGCCCGAACCGGTTGCCACCCGGTTAGTTTTTTTTTTTCCTATTCTTTTCTCCCCCCCTCCCCTCCACCCCCAAACCGGTCCTAAACATCAAGCCCAACTCAATAAAGCCCCAAAAAATGAAAAAACAAAAAAAAAAATAGTTTTTGGCCCGGGCCCGACCCGGCCGGGCCGGTTCGCCAAATAAAAGGCCCGAGCCCGGACCCGCCCCCCCACCGGGCCTAGGCCCGACCCGGACCCGAGAACCGGGCCGGTTCCGGGCCCGCACAGTGGCGGGCCGGGCCGGTCCTGGGCCGGGCGGCCCGAACCGGGTCCATGACTAGGTAGGCTTTTCGTTGGGTTGGGCTGCTATAAAGATTTTTTTCCTATATAATGTTTTACATGAAATCTATATCCTAATAATCAAAGTTTTTTTAAAATTTGAGATGAGACAAGGGCACAAGGCCCAACACGGCCCCCTTTACCTCCGCGTTGGGTCGAGTACAAGGCCTAACTTTTGTGCTTTTTCGAGCTCGAATTTGAAACAATACCTTTAATTGAATTCAAAGATGCCCAAGTTTGAGGTCAGTACGTCTCATTTGCATTACATTGGAAATCTATTGATGCTACATTGGAAATCTATTGATGTTTTTTACGACGTTACACGTCTCAACTCTCAAGAAGAAAAGTGTTCTTCAACTTTTTCCCTGCATTTTTCTCAAATATTACAATTTTGAAGCTAAATTCCACAAAACCGACTAGTCATATGACTATTATGAAATAATCAATACTTAAGACTTGTGAACAAACCCCAATAATTGAGATTATTATTAAATCAAAATTTCCTATTATTAATTAAAACAAAGGTTAGTCACATTTTCCAAAAATATAAAAATTATTCATATTCTTATCTTTTAAAAGTGTAGATGTAATATGTTTGCTTGCTTTGCTGTTTTTCCCCTCTACTTCTCTAGGCCCGCGTTTTTACTTCTTAGAAGTAAAAGTTTTTTTGTATTCTCAATATGATATCCGTGATTAAACAGGAGATGCTTTTTTTTTTTTGAATATAACAGAGTGACTTTTTATAAAAAAAAATCAAGAAGTTATACAAGACACTAGGGGTGGACCGGTTCCGGGCCGGGCCCGGTTTGGGCCTTGAACCGGCCGGGCCTCGGTTCAAGGTAGGGGAGGCCTGGAACCGGCCCGGGTAACCCCGGGTCGGGCCGGGCCGGGCCCGGTTCGGTTCTATATATATATTTTGGGTTTTCCTAATCAACCCCCTACCCCCCCCCCCCCCCTCCACCCCAAACCACCTCAAATGGCCCAAAATACCCAATCGAACCCAAAAACTTAAAAAATATTCAAAAAAAAAAAATTAAATCCGGGCCGGTTCACCAAAATGAAGGCCCGAGCCCAGAACCGGTAGCCACCGGGCCGGGTCGACCCGAACCGCCCATGGGCCGGGCCGGTTCAAACAGTGACCGGGCCGGGCCGGTTCCGGTTCGGGCCGCCCGGCCCGAGTCCAACCCTACAAGACACCCATCTAAACAGATATAACTGAGCACCTCCTACAATGCAATCTGCTTTTGTTAGACATAAAACAGGAAAATTTAAGTCTAATACAATCGGAACTGAAATATTGTAATACTAAAAGTATGTACTACTAAAAGAAAATAAAATTGAAATAAAACTTTTCCATAAAACTCTTCTTTATTTGCACGAAAGTGGTTCCGGAGAAGGACGATCTCTTCCATTTTCTATGCAGCCTAAAAGAAGGCAGACAGAATCCCCTGATAAGACGAAACTGGCCGAGACACCAAAATAACTCCCCACATCAAGGGAGACAAAATAACCCGGAGCACCAGTGTCCGGGAAAGAACCATCATATCACATGACAAACACAATTAGAAAAGAACGGTCAAGTTGGATCATACACCTACCAAGAATATCTGAAAACCGATAAATGTCACAAGAGGATTATGCAACGTTTTCTTAATTGTTACATTGAAAGTATTTACAAAAATGTGACCCTCTACTCTATATATAAACCATTTTCGGTAAATGTAACCTTTATATATATTGTTATGACTATAGTTGTAATTTGTAGTCATAATAATTTATATAGTTATTTTCTATTTTCACACTTAAGGGAACATGATACTCATAGCAACCTTAGTTATATTTCTGGAAATAAATTTTATTTGGGTAAATTTCTTAAAGAAACTTCTTATCATATTTTAAGGACTAAATTGCAATTTGTTGCCTGTCACATGAAATAGACACCGCAGGTACCATATAAAGTATTTCTAATTTTAATTGATTTTTTCGTTGGTATTTTTCAATGTTCCACTAAAATAAAAATTAAGCAAGTTATATAAGTATTACAAGCGAAGTATAATATAGTACTCCTTATAAGATTGGAGTTAATCTGAAAGAATTTTAAACCCACTAGGACAATACTTCACATGCCTGTGTATATATAGCGAAGCATGTAATATTACCCGGCCGCTACATCGAGGATGCAAGCCATTAGAACGACATCTTTGTGGATATATAAATGTATAGATTTTACTTACAGCATCATAATAAAATTTTTAGAAAAGAAGAGGCCCTCCGCCCCTGGAAGAAGAAGTCTCCGTCCAAGAGAAATCGGCAAACTATCCCTTCTTCACCAAGACATTCTTTTCGAGATTCTGGTTCGACTCGATCATCAATCATTGAGGAAGTTAAACTGCGTCTCCAGATTCTTCACGGACCCAAGTTTCGAGGTGTCCTACGTGAATTGGACGACGAGTCCTATCCACGGCACAACCATTCTCTTCTCCTTTCAGGCTCCCTTTGTTCCTGACAGGCGGTCTTCATATTATGGTTTGCAGCAAGAAGAGTTTTACACCATAAACTACAACTCCCATGAAGAAGAAGGAAAACTCATTCACGCAAAACGTGTTAGGCATTTGGAGGAAGAACGCCTCCAGCATCTCCGCTGCGTGTCTTTGGCCAAAGGAGTTTTATGTTTCGTTAATAGCAGTCGCGAATATATTACTTGCGACCGTGTCACGGGGCAACATATCAGCTTCCCCGCGACACCTAGGTGGTCCAAGCCTCCGGCCGATCCTCGCGTGCTCCTTGGCTTTGATGGTTCTTCCCGAACATACAAGATTTTGAAGTCGGAAGCTTGGTATGAGACTTGCACTGTGAAGCATTGGGTGATCACAGTGCGAGTGGGCGAATACTGGCGGGAGATTGACGAAAGCTCGTCCCCGCTGTTTCAGCCTTATAGTCACTTCTCGCGTAGCGTTTGCGTTGACAGCGTTATCTATTCCTACAATCGGACCTGTAATATAGAGCGGTGGGAGCGGGTAGAAGGGGGCTTTTACATAGTGGCTTTCGACCTTGAGTCTGAGAGTTTCCACGGGATGCCTTTCCCTCCCGTGGAACGCAAACATTATGATGATTTCGTCAGAAACTCTACCTTGGTGGAATCGGATGGCCGGCTTGCTATCATACATGTCTGTAATGGCATGGTTATTACTTGGAGCTTTGAGCCATCTTCATCCTGCTGGAACAAGAAGCATGCTATCGCCCTGCCACCGGAGGTAGTGGAGGCCAGCAGGTTACCCAGACTACTAGACGGTAATAAGTTCTTGGGCAGTTTTTCCGTTACTCCAGCGGGGGAAGTGGTGCTGTTAATGCCGAGGAGGAGGACATCTTCTCTTTGGATTTTGTTGGAAAAGGTCGGGGTAAAACCCATTTGGAAGAAGTTCAGAATTAGCGGACTGGGCGATTTTCCGAATTTTGTTCACCGGTCATTCAAAGCTGTTGTCGTCGTGCAAAACATTACGGAGAATTTCTTTCACAGGGAATAGCTGCTGAAAAGAGTTTATATTTAAGTTTTACGTGATTGATCTTACTAGCCGGTGCACAGATTTGTAGATTTGATTACCTACTAGCTAGGTTTACCATTTTAGTTGTTTACTTTGGCTATTTGGAGAGCATCCATCCCAATTCATTTTTACTTTAATGAATTGAAGTTATTTCTCTTGCTTACAAGACTCTAAGTCGTAAGGTTATGTTTGGCACAACGGGTTGGAGCTGTATACTAATGTCTGGATTATGGCTATTTGTCTAAGGCCCCGTTTACTTGCAACTTAATGAACTGAATTGAATGGACGACTTAATCGTGCAGCTATACAACCTTGTTTATTTATGACTTAACCACAAAAGTGACTTATTCGGTCAGACCGTTTGTGACTTATTCGCTCAGCCAGAATTGAGCACTCCTTCCGCTTCAGACGTATGTAGCCGGTGCGAGGAGTTTAGTTTTTAACCCTGAATTATCCCTCCCAGTATTTCATCGCTTCTCCAAGACATATCACGCCAACATCACAAAGCTCTTAACAAACTTGAGCTTCGAGACTTCGACGATCGGACCTAGACAGCAAAAGATATCATCCCTTACTCATTCCTTTCGGTATTTCCTCTCATCTAGGTTTTATGTTTTTTTTTTGTTCTTTTATTGTAAAGTTTCTCCGTGAGCTATATCTAAAATAGCCTCTAAACTTCTTAGATAAAAGAAGGCTTCAACTGGCGCTTGAAGTTTGCTATATTGACTTGAGTTTCTTGTTACGTTGTTCTGGAAGATCTAGGCTTTTTGGTTCCCATTTTTATTTTTCAAATTATTCAAATTGAGGGAGGATTCTCAAATTATGGCTCCTGCGATGTGAATGGGTTGCAAGGGTTTTGCAAAATCATTTATTTTTCTGAAAGCCTTAAACAATTTGGGAGGGCTAGATGATATCAATTTCATTTCTCCTGAAAAATTCACTCATTTTACAAATTGTGGGAGATGAATGCAAATAGTGATTGTTTCTTCCATTTGAAAGCCGTGAACTGCTGGTATGGCCTAGGTCAAACCAGTTTCTTTTTTTCAGTAAATTCACTCCATTTATATATATTTTGTGAAATTCATAGAATTTAACTTAAATTTAATGTGGCATATTATTATAAACACTTGGGTTGTCTATCTGCTAGTTTCTGATTCATGCTAGCATTTTTTACTTATTGGTTTTGGAGATGTTTATATATTCATCTTCATTCTTTTAAGCACAATCCCAAAGTTTGGAAAATTATACTAATGTTGTCAAATTATACTAAACTATACCAATGTTGTCAAGTTGGGAATTTAATCTTAACCTGATTTCCTACAATTTGTTTTGAAACCATAGCATGTAATCCGTTTTGAAACCCCATGCAAGTTTGTTCTTTTGGTATCAAACTATCACTGTTGTGGATCTGTCATGTCGTGTTATGAATTTCCCTTCTGTTAGAGATGGAGAAGTTTGGATTACAGAGCAGATCCGAGCAAAATGAGACCCGTTTTTAAGATTTACTACATGATATTTTCATAGTTCTTATTTTTCTTTCATGAAATGGGAATTTGGGTGGAGGGAGTACTTGTTCATGTTCTGCACCATATAATCTTCTGTTATACCTATTTACTGCGGATTATACTTCCTTTTGCTGCAGTTGTGTTCATTTGAAACATGAAAGTGTTATACTTGCATGTACCATCTTCTGGTGAACCAATGATAGGAATGAATGTGCTAAAGTTGTTTATAATGTTATTTTGGCAGCATTGCGCTGCATGCCGTAATTGCAAGATTGGAAAAGGATAGAGACAATGCATGAGCAATACTAGCTCAAGTTCAAAGATAGATGTCCACTGAAGCTGTTAACATAAATGTAGTTTATAGTCCTGCATTAAGCAATGGGAAGCGTGTGCTTGTTTTCTTGTAATTTATATTGTATATTCATTATGAATTTTGATGGTGTATAACTTAAATTTTCTTGGAATGTTTTTATTTGTACTGATGAGATACTCGTATTATAAAAAGGAATTATTTTTTATTGTGTAAATGAAACATGATTTGGTAAAAAATCAGTTTTGTACATTTGGGTAGTATTGTAAATGTCAAATTTCCGAGATGAAATCGTTAATAGACTAGTAACTTTAAAATATTGGTGTAAAATTCTTGACTTTTTATAATGTAATGTGACTCTTTTATTTAAGTAATTCATAATATAATGTTTTTCAGACAAGAAATTATCGTTCAGAACAAGGAAAGTAAACAGACAGTATACATTCAGTACTATTCTAGACACGAGGGTTATTTGGTCATTTATCATAATTCAGACATCTCATTCAGCGCATGTAGTAAACAGTTTGTTATATCAGTGTCACTTAATCCAGACAGACATCTTAATCCAGACAGACGTCTTAATTCATTCAGGACTTAATAAAAAAAAAGTAAACAGCCCCTAAATCAGACTATTCCATAAAGGCCTTTGCTATTGCTCCATAGCCTTGAAGGAGCTATGATGACCTCTTATAATGAAGCCTGCAGCTCCAAAGTTGCCAATCTTTCCAACTGCAAAATTTATTTTTAAGTTAGGGAATGAGGCTTACCCCAAAAACCTTCTAAGGCATCAAAGATATGAAAGCCACAGGCAGAAGACATGACTGCTTGAGTGAGGTAGCATGGGCCACATTTTCCCCCTCATACCCAAACTCCAGTCATGCATATAGATAGTTTTAATCCCACTTCTCTTATGCTTCTGCCAATACTTCTGCACCAAACTAGAATATTCCTAGCAGTAGTCCCTCTTAAAATAGTTCTTCCTAGCTAGAGCACCAGGAAAACAGTATTGGGTACAAATGCCAAAGTTGTAATCACAGCCAGTAATAGAAAAAGAATCTTGTGCTTCACTTGAAACCAGCACCAAAGGATTATCAAAATCGAATGGCCTGGCTATCAAAGTGGAAGCCATATGGAAGATTTTGTTGGAAGTATAAGCTCAAGAAAAGCAATAGCAATGCAAGATAAAATTAATGCAATATGAGATTTAACCAATTTGAGCTGTTAATAACTCTAAATTAAAGAAGCACCACCTGTACAGTCCACAACTAACCATGGTAGAATATATACTAGAATACACCGTCGTTTTGGAAAAGACAGTGTATTCTACGATGGATGAACATAAACACTTCCTTCAATAACGTTTCAATTCAGACCATATTTTCCATCTCAAGATTAATTCAGTCATTCATCCAAACGATACTACTTTTAACATAATTAGCCGAATTTAAGAAATTTAAGATATTTAAGAAATCCCAGCCCATTTTAAGTTGAAATGGCATGCCAAACATACTCTAAATAGTTCCACTTTGATCATGCATGCTTTACTTCTAGATAAGATGTTTCACTTGGATGTTTTAACCGGACTGAGATTTTCTGATCTGGTCAGGTATGTCTATTTTATGTGTATTTTATAACTGCCAAATTTTGATCTCGTCTAGTCCAATCTTTTAAATTGAATGAAACTAATCCAATTAAAGGCATCATGAGACATTTTTTCGTATAATCTGCTGAATCGCGTCTTGTATGTTTTTTTTTAATTCTGAGATAGTTAGAGAAAATTATAATAGTGTGTATTGTGTATTGTATCATTATTTAAAAACTTATTGTTTGATTTAGTCTGATATGCACTGCTCTATAACGTTCGTTTGAATATGATTTGATTTGAATCATTTGATATGAGATTGAAACTATTCTAGATGAAACATCCTTATTTTTTTTGAAGTTCTATTAAGTTTTACAAAATTGCTATGGGTACCTCAAATGGTACCTCATTCATACCCCATATAAAAACCCTTCCCCATTTTTACCACACTCCATTTTCCATTTCAAAAATTTACCCCCAACTCTCTTCTTCCTTCCAAAACTCCACACCAGCCCTCTACCAACTCTCTCCACTCCCCTGCGACAACACCCTCCCCTCTTTCTCACTGTGACAACACCGGCCAACACTCCCCTGCGACAACACCCTCCGCGACAACACCGGCCAACACTCCTTCCGTCTCACCCTCCCCTCTTTTTTTTATGTGTTTCGAACGGAGAGCTACAGTGCTAGGGCGAAAGGAGGTCATCCATGGACACCATTTACAACCCTCTTCAATGGAGTTGAGCTACAGATTGTCCACAGATTCCCCTTAGTATGCCTCTTTCTCCCTTTTTCATCTTTCTTCATTTTTTATTATTTATTTTTTTAATTCATATGTAATACTCTATATATCTTGTAATGTTAATGGTTGAATATCTTGTGTTATTGTGATGAATTTGTGATGTTTATTCTTACAATTTTAGTCCAACTATTCTAGGTCATTAATATGCCCATAACATGTTTGTTGAAATGCTTAAATGAATTTTTTGTTTATGTCCTCTTATGTTATAAGGATTTTGGATTTTTTTTTACTAGTATAAGTTTCAACTTTAAATTGTGCATATTGTTGTCTGGTGTATTACTTGAAGTGCATATATGGTTGATTTCTCTTAGTAGTTGGTAATGGGTTAGTAGTTTAAAAATTGTTTGTAATTGTCGGTCATGTGAAATTAGTTGTCTGGCAAGCCATTTGAGTTGTCTGTCACTTCATTTTGAACTGTTGGAACTAGGTTTGTAGTTGTCTGTCATGTGAAAGTAGTTGTCTGGCAAGCCATTTGAGTTGTCTGTCACTTCATTTTGAATTGTTGGAACTAGGTTTGTAGTTGTCTGTCATGTGAAATTAGTTTTCTGGCAAGCCATTTGAGTTGTCTGTCACTTCATTTTGAACTGTTGGAACTAGGTTTGTAGTTGTCTGTCATGTGAAATTAGTTGTCTGGCAATCCATTTGTAGTTGTCTGTCATGTTGTTGTGATAAGTCTGTAAGAGTAGTGAAGTTGTCTGTCATTTTAAAAATAGATGTCTGTAATTTATATTTACTTGTCTGTGTTAAGTGTTCTAAATGTCTGTCTAAACTTTATTTGTCTGTCTGCAGATCTGGAGAAGTTAATGCTTACAGATTATGACTACACCAACATGTCGAACAAAAGACTTGAATTTGCTATTGAATTTTGGCGCTTGAAGAAGGCTGAAGCATAGAGTGTTGGAGAAATGTATCGATTTTGAACTTCTGATATTTTTAATGTGTATTTTTTTTACAAACATTACATATTACAGTTGGGGAAATGTGTCAAATATTATACAATGTTGAAGAATTGGATTTGTTTTTTGAACATGTGTAAGTTTTTGCAAACATT